GCACGTGGGTATCCAAACTCTGACTGGTTTCCAACAGCAACGAGAACATCGATTTTTTTCTGATTTGACCAGAACAATGGATGATCCAGACTTTCTTCTGCAGCTGGGCGTTTGTCTTTATCAAATTCGAGCATCTTTTTAACAAGGTGACTAGCCTCTTCCAGAATAGATTTATCCCATYCTTCCAGGTTTCCTTTCATGATGTTGGCTTCTGTTTCGTGAGCAATTTGATCTTTTCCTTTACTGGCACAATCACATGGAAAAAATGGGTGTTTTTTTTTTTGACAGAATGTAATGAAGAACAAGTCCACATGAAAACATGTCAGATGCCTTGGAATGATCTCCACCGTCCACATGAGTACTCCTCAACAATTCTGGAGCCATCCAACACCTCGTTCCCGCATTAGTACCATACACTGTGGTGGTGCTACTATCAACCCGACAGCTCAGACCAAAGTCAGCAATTTTCAAATGTAGATGAGGGTGTGTTTTATACAGAATATTTCCAGGCTTCAGKTCGCGATGAACAATATCCTTCGCATGCAGGAACTTTAACCCCTTTACTACCTCTTGACAAAGTTGAGTACTTTTTCTAGCGTCAAATGTGGATCCATCAGTAAGGTACTCGTCAAGATTTCCTTCCATCAGTTCTAAAACTACGCATGAAAAGGTTTCATCTTCGAAGAAATGCAAATAACGAACAGTTTGTTCGCAGTCTGCAAGGGCAGTGAGATTTTTAATCTCTCGTTTGTCTTCTGGTCGCTGCAAACGTGTCTTCAAAATGCGCTTGATGGCCACTTCTCTACCATCCTTCTTATTGATTCCAACAAAGACATCACCATATGAGCCTTGTCCTATGTGTTCTTTGTGACACCAAAAGTCCTCATGGATCACATGGCACTCTTGTCGTCTAGCTACTTTGGCCAATTCGACCTCATATTTCTTTGAAATAGAAGTCCATGGAATGAGTACGGACATTGCATTAAAATCTAAGGCTTTTGTGAGGAGTTCTTTAAGAGCATCAAAAGTGGATGCAATATCCAGGCAGGACTCGACATCAGCTCCATACAAACGAAGAATCTTAATGATTTCACAATGCACAGACAAGTTTTCAAACGCTGCGGTTATTGAATGGTCTGATGTGTCCACTCTTCTTTTCTTTGATTGAGGTTGTCCATCATCAAAGGTTTCATCGTCTTCACTAACTGATATTTCAGTGGCCGCAAAGGCAGGTTTCTCTTCTATCTTGTTATCCAATATGCCAGTTTCTATTATATTCGTACAGCAAAGACGAAGTGGTTCTGACGCAGTGGTAGGACCTTTTCTTGACTTCAAAATATCTCTGACAAGAATGCTTTTCCACCTTGTCCGTGTTGCTTTGTCTTTACAGATGGCGTTCAAAAGACCCACAGCAAATGTCTCGGACTGAGTGTAGCCCTGCTCGCAAGCCACGTCAACCAGAGCTTTAGCATAAACAAAGTTCTCCTGTCGAATGAGAACACTTAGAACTGACTCACCCTCTTTGTCGGCTGTCCATGGATCAAGTCCCTTGTCGATGGCAGCTTTCCAAAATGATTTTGGGTCTTCTAACTCTGCAACATCTGGGTAGAGAGCACTGCTGTAAATAGCAGCATCTGAATAAAGACCGCCTTGATGAGCACGAAATGGCCACCTTGTCTTCGCGGCAACAACAAGAGGTGATGCTTTTGATGAATCAACATCGTTAGCGTTTGCTCCAGCACCAAGCAACTGCTTCACAGCTATCCAGGTTCTGCACAAATGTAAAGGCGTTTGATCTTTGCCATTTCTATTATTCACTTTTGCTCCATACATCAAAAGGTAATTTAAGGTTGTTTGTAGGAATTCCTCAAATGTGAGATCTTTAGTAACATTACTTGTATAGTCTTGAGGTGATGGTAATTCTAGTGAAGCCCAAAGATGCAGTGGTGAATTGAGATCAACATCAGGTATGTTGATAATCCTTTTCAGACTTGCTCTATTTTTTGGAATTATTTGCGAAATTTTGATTGCTTCACGCAAAATATTTTGTCTTGCTGCCTTATCACGTATCTGAAGTCCTTGTTGGAAAAGCTGTAGTAATAAATGAAAAACAGTTTTTTCACTTCCAGACTTGATTTCAAAACTGGATCCGCGTTTTAACAACAAGGTACGGAGTTCTGATAGGGTTGTCACTGCTGATGACTTACGATAACGATAAGTTTCGTTAACATCAGCACCAGCATCAATCAATGCAGAAACCACACTATAGTGACTTCCTTGGACAGCATGAAACAAAGCAGTTTCGCTATTATTATCAGCCAAGTTTACACCAGCACCAGCATCAATCAATGCACGAACCACACTCTCGTTCCCACTTTGTTCGACCGCATGAAACAAAGCAGTTTCGCCAAAATTATAAGTTTCGTTGACATCAGCACCAGCATCAATCAATGCACGAACTACACTCTCGTTGTTACTTTGTTTTACAGCATAAAACAAAGCAGTTTTGCCAAAATCATCAGTTATGTTGACATCTGCGCTAGCATCAATCAATGAACGAACCTCGATCTCGTTTCTTTGGTGGATGGCCCGAAACAAAAGATGTCTATTTTCAGTCCTGTTATCAGTAGTCATTCTTTGATGTCAAAAGGCACGATGACCAACTGCAATATGTTGTAGTTAAACTGGGTATATTTTCTATTTGAATGTCATATGAACACTTATCTCCAACTGCTGTTTTCAGGACTCAAGCTAACTGAGTATTTGCTCGTCACTAGCATTTCACATCTTGACTAGAATGATATTTTCATCTCGATTCATTTCTTCAACTTACGATAATCCGTCATCAAGTGCCACGGGTATAATCCCTGTTCTTTCACACAATATTTTCGTTCAATTTTTAGGCCTGCCGTCGTGATAAAAGTATTTATTTTCTTTGCAGATCTCTTGGCCTTGCAACGTTGTGTTTAAGGACTGAACTTCCGCCTTCGTCATACAATTCGTTAGTCACATATCGATCATTGATACCACTTGAACATCATCACTGTTGTACCTATCCGAAAGGATTGTACTAAGACAAGATTACAGTAGATCTAAACCACATTCGAGGTGAAATATTGGAAAGATTTGAAGAAAAGCAGGAGCTTAGAAAGCCTTGCTTCGAAATCGTTCGACTGTAGAATGCTTCTTGGAATCTGCTTACTTTACTTATGGTAATTGCTGTTGATGCGCCTGACTGGCTCGCGCGTCTTACATAGCTACTCTACAATAAGCCTGTAGCGAGATGACGTTTTACCCCCGTCTCTAGACCATACTAGTTTTTAAAATTCTTTCATATTAAAATTTTTGATTCCTTAGAGGATACAGGAACAATAGTCATAATTAAAGAACAAAAGCAGCGTGAAAAGGATTATGGTCTAGAGACGGGGGTAAAACGTCATCTCGCTTGAGGCTTATTTTGACTTTTCATAGTGATGATCGACGACTTGCAAGTACCATCAGCTAGCGATGTTGTAAAATACGTAGATGACACAACCATTTATGAGATTGTGAACAGAAAGTCTCCAAGTGCTGCTCAGGCCTCTGCGAATGAGATCTCCACATGGTCCACTGAGAATAAATTTCTGATTCATCCAAACAAATGCAAGGAACAGAGAATTTCCTTTTCCCGTAACCGACGGAAAGAAAMAACGTTATCCGGCATTGATGGTAACGTTATAACTCCTGTTGAATCTGTTAAAATCCTTGGTGTGACTTTACAGAATGACTTAAAATGAAACTCTCATGTATCTGAGGCTGTCAAGAAAGCTGCAAAAAGGCTCTACTTCCTTTCTCAGTTGAAACGTGCAAAAATTGATACAGCTAATCTGGTCAAGCTTTACACTGCATGCATTCCACACCTGTGTACGCTTGTCAAGTGTTTCATCACAGTTTACCAGACTACCTATTCTTAATGATCGGAATGATATGCACGGTGGAATTTGAGTAATAAACCCAAAACAATAAAT